GGACCGGGTCCTGGGGCACGCCCGCCGCCTGCCTGTACCATCAGCCCCAGGGCTAGGTGGAGAAGACAAACGTGCCACTGTCCTGGGGTTGACGGTTTTTTTTTTTTTTTTTTTTATGGAAATAGTGTGGGGAAAAAAGATGTAAGCTGTTTTGAAAGAATTTACATTGGCTATAGATAAAGGGAGGGCATGTGTGGGTGAAGGTGAAGCGGGGACTAGTTCTGGGATAGAGGCAGAGCCGATAAGGAAGAAGTGTTTGCCCCTTTGGATTGGTGGTGGGTGACAGCCCAAAAAGTTCATGCAAACGCAAGAAGCCAAGTTGCCTGGTGATCGGTGGCGCCTGGCTATTCTCTTGAGATAATCCTGGAAGTAGCCACCTGGCAGTTAATTCAACATTTCAACATGCCCTCAGGAATGCAAGCAGCCTTTTGTTGATTTTGCCCAGCAGTTGTTAACTGATTAACCTCTCTTTCCCTTCCATCCACCTTCTAGTCTGCTGTAATTTAATTTAGGACACCTCAGAATTTTCTCCCTTGTCAGAAGTGAAAAGGCTAAACTCCTGGGGACAAGTAGCCTTGTATCCTAGAATTTACCACCCAGTGCTGGTTAATTTTATTACAGGGCAGAGTGACAGGCTTTCCCCACCCTGGCCCTTTTGCTGGGCTGCTCTCAGAGATCAAGGATACGGGGCCAGGAGCAAAGTATAGGAGCTCTTCACATGCAAGACAGCCTGTGAGCATCTGTGTGAGTGCAGTAGGAACCACGGACATAATGTCAAGGATGGGGACCCTGAGCCATCAGTCTAGCTGACCCTGATGTCCCATGTGCCTGGTGCTCTGTGGGATGATGGCACGAAGCAGAGCTCGTCATCTAGGACAGTTGTTTGGGGTGATGTGTGCTCATATATAGGATAATCACTGCAGCACGTGGTGTGCAAATTAACACAAGCTTTCTAGAAAGCACTTTGGCAATATGCAATTAACGTGAAAACTTTGCAAAAAGGGTTATGTACTTCGATTAAATAATTGCCCTTCTAGGAACTTATCCTACAGAAATCATGGCAGCATTTTTAAAAGAAACGAAGCTTTGGAACGCATCTAAATTTCCATTAGGGGGCTGGTTAACTATGCCCCAATCCAGCCCTGGCAGGATGGGTGACACTATAGAAAGGGAATGAAAACGAAGATCCCGGAACTGATGTGCCTGGGTTGGTTTGGGCTCATGGTTGGGTCAAGTTATTTTATGACTTGAAGCCTCAGCTTCCCCGTTTATATAACATAGAGAATTATATGTACCTCTTGGGATTGTGTGACTTCCAAATCAGCCACTATGTGAAAGAGATACAGCGCAGAGCCTCGCCTACAGTTCATGCCCAGTGTTGACTGCCATCATCATTTATTATTCCTTTCTTATTCTTATTATCCTAGATGCCTAGCACAATACCCTACACCAAGTAGATTCAGTTTTTTTTACACCCACACTATTTGTACTTTAAACCCCTTTAGGCAAAAGATTTCTTATTCACAGCCATTGAGTTCCAGGTTATATCAGCTAAGGACACTTGCTTTTTGTGTGAAATCTTTATAGAAGGAAGCTTCCGGGCTTTTGAGGGCGTTGAGGCCTGGCAAGGCCTTTGCATTAAATATCCCATAATTTGAGTTTCATGTTTCAGTATTCAAAAATGCCTCCGTATTCAAAAACACCTCTGTATTCAAATGACCTGACTGTTCTTCAGTCTCCTAGCTATTTTGTGTCCCTTATCCAAGCAGATTTGAAAGAATCAACAGCAAGGCTCATTGCTGATTTGTACCCACATGCCAGGGAGGCCATTTCTTTGCCACCTCATTTGTATCTGCCCTTAGCTTTTTTTTTTTCTTTCATACATCCTGGTGTGACCCTTCCCACCCAGCCACACACACACCTGGTAGCACGTTTGCTATGATTCTTAAAAGTGGAAGTTTTAGAATATTTGGAACCCAGAAAACAGTCAAAGTGGAGTCTGTGGGTCCTATTTCATCCCTATGCCTGATGAATATTTGGGGTTTTAGGGTTTGGAGAGGAAAACAATAGTTACTTTATGGTATACATTTTCACAGAAACTGTGTGGATATTATTGCTTCCATGTGATGGGTGAGGCGGCACAGAGAGGGTATGTGACTTGCCCAGGGTCAGCCAGGCAAGTAACCCTGGTGTTCTGACATAACTTTTTAGCCTGTCCTCTTTTTGGTGATTTCTTGTTCTCTTTGTCATTCTAAGGAGCTTTGGGCTCAGGATCTGAACAAAGTCCGGGAGCGAATGACAAAATTTATCGACGACACGATGAGGGAGACTGCCGAGCCTTTTCTGTTTATCGATGAGGTGAGTGGGCTCCTTGTGACAAGTCAGTCAAGGGCTGGTTTTCTTCCAGGGGATGAATCATTGCAGCCAGCCGATCCTTTTTCTCATCCTTCTCTATTGATTTTGTCGCCTGGGTGTATTCTTTGATGTAGCCACTAGAGGGCGTGTGGTGCCCAGGAGTGCATTATAAGCCCAACAAATTCAAAGGTTGATGAGGTGCCTTCGAGCTGTGAAAATGGTTGCGTTTGGCCCTGAGTGAGGCAGCAGGGGAGATGAGACTGAGGTAGAACTGGAAGCTCCTGCCCCCTGTAAGATTGTTCCCAGCAAGCAGAATGTTACCCCCGTGCCACTCAATCTTTTGCCTTTTAAAAACAGGGGTCAGGAATTGGGATATGAAATTTCCTGCCTTTTAGATGTCATGATGCTGTCAATGTTTTGTTTCTTACTTGGCTGGTGAGTTCACAAATGTTCAGGGTATTATTATGCCTTAAAACTTATATATGGCAAGCATACACTCTTATAGAAACATATTTTAGGGAAACATATTTAAAAGGGGAAACATTGTATAGGTCTGTGAAACAGGTCAGTACAGCCTGTTGCTATCTGAGTTTCTGTATTGAAAACTCAGGTGAGGGAGACCTGGAGATTATTTGTTGAATTCATGTATCAGAGCTACCATTTCCCCATGTTGGCACAGACCGGAAAGAACCAGATGCCACCGATCCTTAGCTTCACTGCGGTATCTCGTCTTTGTGTTTGTGACTCTCCTAGTTCCTCATGTATCTGTTTTCACGGGAGAACAGCATTTGGGATGAAAAATATGATGTGGTGGACATGCAGGACATGAACAACCCCTTGTCTCATTACTGGATCTCCTCATCACATAACACGTGAGTTTTGCCACCAGCCTGGGATGGGTCGTGGACCAAGGGGAACATGGCGGGCGTTCCATGGTGCTGCTCTGGCAAAGCGTGTGGGAAGCGGGTAGAGTGCAGGGTCACACTGTTGAGACTGGACTATCCACTTCTGGACAGGGTTGGGGAAAGCACCCTTTTTTCTAGTTGGCATTACTATAATAATAATATTGCTATAATAATCCCTTTTCCTGTGGCCCTAAAAAGCCAGTCAGCAAAGCTGGTTTTCATGGTTTGGGCATCTTCTCATAGCCACAGCAAAGCAATTGAATTATCATGGAACTGGTTATTTACTGAGTGTCTACCTTGTGCTTGCTGGGTACTGGGGACATAGCGGTGAACAGAGCAGAACACAACAGCCCTGTTCTCATGTGCTTGGAGGGGAATATTAATGCTGGACAGGAGTTGGTGAGAGGAGAACAGGTGGCCAGGTGAGATACAGGGTTTCAGACAGAGGAATAGCATGTGCAAAGGTCCAGGGGCAGGAACAACTGAGAGGGGTCTATTAAGACTAGACTATAGAGTTCTGGGGCTTGGGTGTGAGTGCCAAGAGAGGAGGCTGGCAGGGTCAGCTTGAGTGGAATCTTTGAGTGACAGCAAGGGCAGTGGGAGCCACTGATGGCTTTTAAGCCAGAGAGCAACATGCTCAAATTTACATCTTTGGAAGATTACCCTGATTGTAAAAAAGACAATAGACTGGAAGAGAGAAATGATGTTACATTCAAGTTCCAATGTTTAGTCTGCCTTATAAGGTGAGAGGGTGAAGGCTTTGGATCATGGCCACCCAGATTGCTGTAGATTGATGGCTTCCCAAGTGTCATTCCAGGCAGGAGTTGGAGAGAAGGCCCTTAAGCTTATCTCCAGGCATTTTGGAAGTTAGCCTTTTTCAGGAGCAAATTGATTTCATGGTTCTCTCTTCTTCATCATGTCCATTGATTTAACGGTTTGTGTCACAATGGTCAATTCTACCAAACCCAGAAGCGAGTTAAGGAACATAAACCCTTAAAAAGGAGGACATAATGAGGACAGTACATACAAATATGTATTTTTATGTCTGGTGGACGTAGTTCATAGCACAGTGAATTCCACTAAGAGTTGTTGATCACTTACTCAGTGCCTGGCTCCCTGATATCAAAATGATGGCCCATCTCTGCCCTATTTAGACTGAGGGCCAGTAGGCAGCCATGTGGGGTCTTTAATGTATCATCTGCTGTTAATCTCACTCTTGACACTCTTTGACCAAGTTCTCCTCGAAAGAACACCTGGTCTCAACCCTACACTTGGATTGTCAAGGTGGTTATTCACATCCTGGGATTGTGGCCTGTGTCTAAGTTGTGGCCACCTGATGGCATGTGTCTGGCCCAGATCCTAACCATGGGTCTTTCTAGACATGAAGAACTCAGGCCTTTGGGGGCTTGGGCTGAGAAGTTCCCCAAGGACTCCCTGAGGTGCAGGCTCACCTCTTCTCCTTCAGGTACCTCACAGGTGACCAGCTGCGGAGTGAGTCATCCCCAGAAGCATACATCCGCTGTCTGCGCATGGGCTGTCGCTGCATTGAACGTGAGTAGCCTTTTCCAGGTGGAGATAACACCTACAGTGAACTGAGGGTAGCCTTATAGTTACCTGATGCTTTTTTTTTTGTCTTAAAGACCTTAATAGTGGGGATAGGTGGGACAAGCTGAGGGAGAAACCAGGTGCCTGTAGCATCTGGGGTAAGGGATGTGGTCATCAAGAGCAGGGACCTTTCCCCAGAAGAAAATTGTCCCCAAGACAAAGAGTGGCATTGAACCTGGCTGGGTTGGAGCCACAAACTGTTAGGTGGTAGTTTCGGGCCTCTAGAAAGGGTCCTGATAACAATGGAAGGCCTGGGAAGCCAGTAGCAAAGATGGCTTTACTGACCTTATGTCCTTCCTTGGTTTCCTTCTGGACTGCTTTTAGAGGAAGACAAAGAAATGCCCTTTGTATTTTAGCAGCTAGCCCAGCCGTGGATGCCATCTTGACTGTTCTTGTCATGATTGCTCGCAGACATCCCGGTACAGGTGATTCCAGGCACCTGGACATGCCCACGAGCCAGTTTCCTCCTCCCTTCTCCTCACCTCTTACTCCCTGGCCTGACCGCCAGACGCTCATAGGTGTATTGGGCTGAGAAAAAGCACAAACCACTGAATTAGGCTCTAATTTTATATATATATACACACACANGTTGTCATGAAACCGTTGTAGTCTCCCTGCCCAGTGCCACTTTGGTGTCTTAGGCTCTGGGATGAGAACAGCCTCATATTAGCTCCTTTTAAGGCATAGATTGAGCAAAGGTAAGCGTGAGAGTACTCCAAGACAGGCGGCAGGGTGAGGGCCTGCGGGCAGGTGTGTCCTCACCTGGCTGGCTCCTGCTGCTCCTGGCTCAGCTTAGGTGTCACTTCCTCAGGAAGGCTCCCTTGAGACTGATGATGGATGTGACTAAGGTGGATGAGCCTGCCAGGTCCTCTGGGGGAATAATAGCACAGTTGGCCTTGAGCTGATGCCATGTGGGGAAGTCTCCTGGTGTTTGCGTACAGGCTCCAAGCTGGTGGCAGAGCCCAAGAAGTTCTGTGCTGGGCAGTGGTTTTCCAGTGGGTGGCTCTGCCCCCTAGGGCAAACTCTGGAGACAGTTTTGATTGTCACGACTGGGCAGGGGGTGCTAGTGGCATGTAGTGGGTAGAAGCCAGGGGTGCTGCTCCAGATCCTAAAATGCACAGGTCAGCCCCCCATGCAACGAATTGCCCGATCTGAAATAGCAGTAGTGCCCAAACTGAGAAACGGAGTTAGGACTGAGATAAATCTGAGATCCTCTTACTTGCTTTGCGACCTGGGGCAGGTAGCTTGACCTTTCCGTACCCCATTTTTCTCTTTAAATGGGGACGCGAGCCCCGCCTTTCAGAATTGTGGAGGTCAGAGAAGATTATATTGATCCTTGTGTGTACGTATATGTATTCTACATGCATAGTCACATATATTTGTAATATTTTATTGATATCACTGGAGTCTCATGTCCATTTTTTTTTCTCTTTATTTTTCTGGTTTTTTTAAAATGACTAGTTTTAGAGCAGTTTTAGGTTCATAACGCTATTCAGTTCATTAAAAAAAAAACTTTGTATTGTTGAGCATTTCAAACATGCACACAAGTAGACAGGCTGTTGTAATGAACCACCATATACCTACCCATCCCTCAGATTTAAAAATGATGAACATTTTGACAATTTTATTACATCGATTCTCCATCTCTACACCCCTGTGTTCTCCATTCACTTTCCCTCTTCTTCATTGCTTTGCTGGAAAATTCTAAAGAAAACCACAGACAACATTATCCTTTCGCTTATAATACGTCAGTATGTCTCTCTTATGAAATGGATTTCTTTTTTTTAAAAAGGAACATCACCGTAGCACTCCTATTATACCTTACGCCAGCAACACTGCTTATTTAGTGTCACCCAGTGCACAGCCTGTGTTCAGGTTTCTTTGACTGTAGAGAAAATAATGAGCAGAGACACATACAGTGTGTGAGGCCAGCCACACAGAGGGCCCAGGCAATTGCGATAGCTACTGTGATGTGATAAATGGGGACTGAGGACGTCGAGGTGGCACGCTTTCCCCATGTGGAGTTGAATGCAAGCGATCACTGAGCTTCCACCGAGGGGACGTCAAAAGAACGGGGGTGAATGAATTCTGTTGGGTGCAGTTACATGCTGGGGACTGTGCTGCCAGTACAGTGAAGCAGAGAGAGAGGCGTATGGTTTTTTCTTTTTCACCATTTTCTTCCTTGCACTGATGCACTCAGTTTTGTAGGGAGCTATTGAAGTATTAAAAAACGTTTACGGAGGGCCAGCCGAGTGGCTCAGTTGGTTCAGAGCTCGCTCAAGAGTGCGAGCGCTGGGCAACAGGGTTGCCGGTTCAATTCCCGACCCGAGCTGAGCTGCCGCTGAGCTGCCAACAGGTGGCAGGATGGCTCAGCTTAAGAAACAAAAAACTTTTACTGTCCAAAGCTTTTCTGAAAGAAAGGGTTTATTCAGCTATATGCTAGGCAGAAAAGGACCGGGTCCTGGGGCACGCCCGCCGCCTGCCTGTACCATCAGCCCCAGGGCTAGGTGGAGAAGACAAACGTGCCACTGTCCTGGGGTTGACGGGCTTTTTTTTTTTTTTTTTTGGAAATAGTGTGGGGAAAAAAGATGTAAGCTGTTTTGAAAGAATTTA